ATCGAGCTATGCGCTGATACCTTTGACAAAGCCGTGGGTGATGGCAAATAGTGGCTTCAAGTGTAGTGAGAACATCGCTAAAGCCTAAAAAGCAATACTGACTGCACATGAAGCCGAAACGTCGAGCGGCAAGCAGCTTTCCTTTGATTCTTCTTAGCCGTACAAGGTTAATTGAAGCTAGTTTGTAGTCTCACTTTGTAGAAATGTTCAATTCCGCACAGCAGTCCGAAAACGTTTTCAATAGTGGGAACGGTAAAGATGGGGCGAAAATGAGGGTGCTACTCATTGGTAGTTAGAAAGCATGCCCCTTTCTCAACTGCCAGAGTCATCATTGGACTTCTTGCCTGTACCTATGTGCGAGCAAACAGGCGAGGATGCACGGACAGCCCACTACTTTGCTGAGAGTATATCTAGTTGTTGCTTGCGTCACTGAGCTGACCGACTGCCATGTGATTGTTAGGAGGTTTCAGCGGGAGCTTACCAAGCACAGGGAAGATATGATTGTCATAGGGGCTCTTCCACAGAAGCCTGACAGTAACTAGCTGGGAGAAGTTAGCTCTATGTTCATTTAATGAGCTGAGTACAGAAGTTGGGGTATTCTGTGTTTCTCTTGTCTGCAGCTACTCAGAAAAGCGAATACACTTTGCGTCGTGTTCTGATATCTTCCCCCGCACTGATAACTAGGTCCTCCAAGGAGCTAGGTTTTTGTGGTCACTCTTCCACTCGATTTAAGCCAGCTCATTACATTAGTGCATCATAGATTACGGGACTTTACGTGGAATCAATGTTCCATGAAATGCCAGCTGCTCACATGTTGTCCCTCAGATGTGCACAGTGGTGGTGGCGAAGCCTACCAGGTAGCCAGCTACCTTGCCGTGCCATGGCCTCCGTCCGATCGTATCTGTGTAATGGGTCTCTACGAGGCCTAATAAGGGTCCTCTATCTTCGTGCTTCAGAATCTATTGCTCCCTCAAAACTGCAAACTCTAAACAGTGCTAATGCAAAAATTCTGATGAGAGTTTCATCGCAGCAGCCAATTGCTGAATGACGTTTGACTGGTTTGGAGCTCTGACTTACAGGAGACCGGTGGTGTGGCCCTGTGGTTCCGCTTCCTATGCAGCCTATGCGTTTACTTGAACCCTGTCATCTGTTGTTCTGCTTGCTGGATTACAAAGTTTCCTCTGGCTGTGCGCTGTTTGAGCACTCTGCTTGCGACCTCTTTGCAGCTTTTATGGCCTGCTCGTTACGGAGGTGCATATCCGCCTATAAAAGCGCACGTTTCGCACTTCTTCTGTGACTGCCTGTGTGGGCTCCTGTTCCGTAATGTGCTGCTTCGTAATGCGTGGCGTTGGGCAACTGAGAAATCCCGGAACAAACCCTACTTCACGAGTACCAAGCCCAGCTTAGCCTACGTAGACATCAAATGCCGATAGCTCCCAATATTCTTCTGCAGCAAGCATCACTATCAATAATATTGCTTGAATGCCCTGAATGCGCAGAGTTCCACCAGGTACATACGGGAGCTGCTTGCCACAAAACGTGGCGCTGAATGGAAAGCTCACAGGGTCTATCCAAGTCTGTCATCTCCGTAACTGTTTCCAGTGCTCAGGCAAACAGTTGCTGTAGCCCTGTACAGCTCTCCTATGGTGTACAACAACGATGCTGCAAATATTTGCTGTGTTCGTGTAATCAGACCATAACAATATCACTCCTGTCCGTGGCGTTTGCCTGGAGAATTAATTACATCGAAATGCTGCATCTACTTCTTACACAAAGCCTTTGAAGAAAAAGTGGTGAAAGCTGACGTGAACCTTACGCAAAGGAACAGCGGGAGGTAGATCTTCTCAAACACACGCCGTACGTTCCCTTCCTGGAGCACAGAGAGGAGAGTGAGAAATGACCTTCTCTTTTTGCTTCAATCGCTTCATCTAGCTCCTTCTAGCTACATTAAAGGAGTTGCAACGCTTAAACCATCCTGCGCAAGTTTATTAGCGAAAGGATCACGCTACCGAACGCCCGCAACAGTCCCGTGATACTTTAGGCCCGAAGGGCCAAGCTGCATAAAACTGTAAGTGAAGTGACTTCCAAGAGCGCTAATTGCTTCATGAATGTAATGGGATGACACCTTTGTTGTATGCTGCACTAGTGGAGAGGCCAGTGGGGAACATTCGCTGGAAACTGCAGAGGGCCTATTAAGCCGCTTGCTCCATGTGCAGTATAGCAGCAATATAGGGTAGCTCTTTCTATGACAGCCTCTCCATAGGAGGAATGGAGCATTCAAAGGCAGACATGGCAGCTATAAGAAGCACTGTGTTCCCTCGATGAGTTGGCTCGGCTCAAGCCCATGCCCTGTCATAGGCGGCAAGACGGTCTCTGCGCCAGCTACAGCAACTGGTGGTAGGGAACGTTCACAAACGGTAGTAGATAGACTGCATGCAATTTAATAGTTAATCGCTAGGCCGCAGATAGCTAAAAGCCTCCACTGGTGCTTGTGCATTTTGGCTGTGGCCCGATACGAAAGGCCAGTGCGACTGCGCATAACCGATTACTGTCTCTAAATATGCCTTTCTTAACGACCCTCACTGCGGAAAAAGCACTATTTTCTTTTTAAATAACAAGATTTGGGTAAGACGAAATCGACAATGGGGTCGACTGTGTCTCCACATCAGATCAAGTGGTCCGTCCTTTCCTGCTGGACGGTTCGACGACGACAAGAAAGTTGGGAATGATAAAACCGTACAGCTTTTAATTCACGCTTGGTACGTCTTTATTCTGCACCGCCTTTTTGATTGTGCGACTGCCCCACCAATATCGGCAGAGGTCGTGAGGCGATCAGCACAGAGCTTTTTCTAATTCGCACCCGGTAGTTCCTGGATTACATGAAATACGCCTACAGCGAAGTGTTTTCACAGGATAAATCATTCAGACGGAAATCTTCTCCAAGTAACACGGCTTTATTCTAGGGGTAACTTCTCTTCTTTGGAGACTGGACTTTCCAGCAGTGCTGAACGATAATGGATTTGAAGAAACCACAAAGGAAGCGAAGGAACACGAAACGTCATCCAGTCTACCCACCTCCGCATGGAATGGATGCTGGTGTTTCCGCAGGGGCTGAGGCATCAGCAGGCGGTGTCCTGGCTGGGTCAAGCACGGACAAGGTCGTCTGCCCGAAGCCTGCTGCAGGTTACTTCTTTAGAAATTATGCTGCCAGCATCGCGTTTCACTCATACATTGCATTCCTGCCAGCACTGCTAATACCTATTCTGGGCAAGACCACTCCATTTAGCCGGTGGAGCTCTGATGCACTGACCATTCTCACAGTGTTCGTAGCGAACGCGACCTGGATGGAAGTGCTTGGTGTTGACTGTACTGGAGATGCATGCTCTGCTTTCATGGAAGCAGCTCAAGAGAAGCAATTTAAAGAAGCACACGGGTCATCTTTAAATTCCACTAAAAAATGTAAGTCTGCGAACGCTGCATTGTCAAAACTTGTCGCCTCGTGAGGCCTTCTATTACAGCGTTTTAGGAGCGTTCCAGTGCCGTACAAACTGCATAAAGTTCCATTACCCATTCTGTGAAACCACATCGGCTCAACACGAATCCACTGTCTTTTTCAGGGCAATGGTTCCTTGGTGGTGCGTCGGGACTCCTTGGGGCAGTAACCGTCGGTCTAGTCATAGCTGCCTTCAGTCCATTAAATCCATTCAGCGGTGTCCTGCCTCTTCCTCACGAGTTGTTTCATCGAGTGAGAAGTGACGTGGCGCTGAAGCCGTCGATAGGTATTGATATTCTGAATGCGGTACTGACGGACGAGCAAAGCGTTCTTGTTGCCTCGCACGTGCAAACTGCAGCACTTGCCATTGTGGGTTGGTGCCCAAAGATTTTTGACCCCTTTTTGCAAAACGTGGAGAATGTGCTCCTGTCATTCTCTCCCATGGAGACTTTTCGTTCCATAAGCCTATTACTTGATACTTTTCTGGTGGAGTTTTTGCTCTGCTTCATCGTCTATTTGGTCAGTTCAGTCGTCACCTCCGCCGCCTTCTATTTTGAACTGAAGCATGCAAAACGAATAAACTTGGCAGTGCTTCTCCTTGCCGTTCTTGCGGGTCTTCCTTTTTGCGCGATTGTTGGTAAGTTAAGCAGGATTTAGGTTATCTTTGGAGAAACAGTCAGCAGCAGCACTAAACAATCAATGTTGCTTGCCTTCAGTACGGCTATTTTGTATCTGCTGTGTTCAGGTGGCCCAATGCTGGGGATGTCTTTTGCTGCCTTGGTGGCGGGATCTCGGCTCGATCTGTTGTGCTTCATACTCAATGGATCAGCAGACTTGTTGGCAGCTTTGTGCGCGACATACTTTGTTTGCCCAGTGCCAAGGACTTCTTGTGGAAAACAAAAAGTGGACTGAACGAACGAAGACCAGTACATGAGTTTGTCTGCGGGAACACAACTTTTGTTGCGAACTAACGCAATAGAAACGAAGGGCAGAAATATTTACAGCAGTGTGATTTGCTGCCGGGAAAGAAGGCGAAAAGCGCGAGGTGGCGGACAAGTGGCTACATGACAGCAAAAAACGCTTCACAAAGAATTTTTCATGTTACATTTTCGGGGAATCAGCCCTGAGAGTGATTTGGCCTAGAGGCCTAAGATGGCTTGGTAGGGACTGCGTGTTCGGCTCAGACAGCCGCTTCCTGAACAGGCGTGACCATCTCAGTTCGATGCTCTGCACTTATTGGACGCACTTCACCAGTTGAAAAAAATCCATCAGTAGATACGTGTTGACGCGACTTTCTCGTATCGCCTGAACAGAACTATTCGTGGAACCCCACGCAGCTGCTCGCACGCAGCTGCTCGTCCAAAGACGCAGTTCGGCACCACGTGGCCTAAATGATGCACAGCTCTAGAAGCTTTCAACGTTTCTGAATGCACTGTGGGTGCTGTAGGAGACTTTACACTCAGCGAGGGTTGGGTTTCTGCTGAGAAATACTGCAATTCAAGCACGATCAATTGTAAACACAAATGGCTTTGACAGCCATTTGAAAAGTGCTACCTCCAGAATTCGCGAGGTGTTTGCATTCCAGTAGGGCTGCAATGTTTCCCAAAAGCAGCCACACGCGTTCCTGCACTAAAACTACTTCGGTGGAATTCTTCCTGAAGAAAGTCCCAGCATGCACCACGCCTATCGAGAGAAGGCGAAAAAGTGCCCAATCGCGCACGCTGTGATGCCTTAAAATTCGGCTAGCGTATACGCCTGACACTTCGTAGACCGGGCATATCAATGTACCTATGGAAGCCATTTTGCACCGGGCTGTGGTCCACAGCTGGAGAACGAATGCGCCATTGTGTGCGTGTGGAGTGCTGGATTGTAAGACTGCTTCTATACCGCTGTGACGCACTTGCTTCGCCATCCCAGGTAGTGCTCTGTGCGACGCCTCGCAGCAAGAGTTCTGCATCGCGGCTAATGTGCCGCCGTGATTTTGCGTCCTTGCGTTGTTGCGCAATCTCTTTGCGGGAAAGTGGCCTACCTTCCAGCGGCACTTCTTCCCATGGATACTGAAATTGCAACACAAGAAGAACAATGCGCCAAAAAGTTAGCTTACGATGGAGTGGACACGCAATGTGGGTTGGCCGAGTGTAACATGAAGCTCTCCTATAGATATGATATCTCTGATGATTAGCTTGCTTACAGGCTTAGGTTCTGCATGAGTCCCTTGGTAAACCCATGCCGCCTTCTCCCTATTTTTCATGTTCTCAAGCTTCCAGTACTCCGAGATTCGGATGTCTGCGTCGGTGAACAATGTAGGCAACCAACGGTTACCAACTTCTCTTCTAAAAAATTGAGGTAGGCCACTTGCGATGGAAGTAGGGAGCATGGGGGGAATTTCGCATGTTCCGGAAGCCCAGGCCCCGCCCTTATCAATTCCATCTTCTCCCCAACTTGAATCCGTGTCATCAGATTGCGTCGATGATCGGGAACGTCTGGAGTCGGTGTATTTAACCTTGGTGTGCTTCTTCGTGCTGCTCTTGTCCCAGGAGGGCCTTTCGACTGCCACGCAGTTTTTATCGAGATAGTCGACAAGGCGACTTGGGATCCTCATGTTATTGTTCTCTATGTTGACTGTGGCATAGCTTGCCGGCGCCGAGCTTCGTGTATAGTTCACCGCTGGAAGGACGCAGACGTAGCGTGAACACGGCACCGGGCACTGCGCAACGCAGCAGGCACCCTTGCGATTTTTCATTACTTGTTTTGCTATGCCCCAAGGAGCACGCGGCGGGGCAGGCATGGACGCGACTCGAAAGTGAGATCCTCTGCTGTGGGATGATACGTCACGTCGAGAAATCCGTTCTGCAGAGCCCGTGTTCGCGTCATTTGGGTCGGCACTATTTCGTGATAGCTTGGACGGCGGCAGCGATCCTCTGTCTGGAAAAGCCTTAATAGGCGACAAGGGTTCCAGTGGAGCCTGTAGCAACTGCGGTCGGCCGACTGGCGGCTCGAGGTGCTGGATGCACGGAAGAACTCCAGAGCAGACCAAATCATCCAAGTAGGGGATCCGCTGTCTCGTGTCCTGATACCTGCGGGCAAACACCCCTACGATGCGATAGGGATTTTTCTCTTCAATCACCAAGCTGTCTCCGAAGACGTCAATTGCTGACGGTCCAAACCAGCTCTGGTTGTCCTCGTTCGCTTGATGGGCTTCTTTTTGAACCTGGCTTGCGGTCGACCACTTGGACGGCCGTAGCATACGCTTGGCCAAAGTATCTGCAAGCAAGTGCGCCACAGACTCACCAGCCCGTTAACAAAGGAATATGCAAATGCAAAGAATACAACTACTGTGCGTGCTAGACAGAAAGAGTGACTGTGTCTTATTGTGTCCTATTGTGTGCAGTCTGCACAGCCTAACCGCTGGTGTCGATGGTCCACTTGTCCCCAACCAAGGAATTGAGGATCGTCAAACAGTGTTTATGGAGAGAGTCTTTGACATCCCGTAACTGATGGTTTAGGTTGTCGATCTCCATTTCCACCGCATCAATCGCTGGACTCTCTGTATCGTCAAGGGCCTGCTTCTCTGCAGCTATTGCAGCCATGTTTCTGTTTGCGTTCGCAATAGCTAGTGCTCGACAAGCAGTGTGAGCCTTCATGTCAGGTTGAGGTGCAGCTGGTTGTTCAGTCGGTTCTTTAGATTGCCTGCTTATAGTAAAATCTATTATTGGGCGGGAAGACGACTCGGAGCTGCTCGACGTTGTAGCATGTTTGTCCTGCTCATCCACGAATGAAACTCGAGTTGGCCGGCGACCAGAGGAAAGCCCGCGTCTGAAAAGCCCGCCTTCAGTGACTGCGTCTGCAGAGCCGAGCAGCCGCGAGCCGCTGGTAAGCACGCCGCGGCTAGAACGAGAAGCGACATGGTTGGGGCTCCTTGGGGCAGGCCGCTTTGACCGGATCGAGTTGATTCTGCTTCTCCCCTTCGCCGAACGCGGCGCGTCTGCGGCAGCCGAACCTTGGCGCGCTTCTTCCAATACAGTGGGCTCATCCAACGCATCTGAGTCCGACGACACGCTCAGCGAACGCGAATCAGCAGAACTACCACTCGTGCGTCGCGGTTCCATTCTCGATTGTTTCTGAACAGGCATCACTTGGGGAATCTCGGAAAGGTTACGGGACGGGCCCAACAATCAACAAAACGTGGATTTGTCGCCCTCAACTTCCACTCGAGAAAGCCTCTTGCCTGGCCAGTACACGGAAGCACAATCCCTGAGATTCCTAAGCCCACGAAGAATTCTGTACTCTACCACTGGAGGAAGACATCGGCGGAAGAGCGCGCAGCCTATGGGAGACAAGATGATGACTGCACTTGCTGGGACCAGTGCCACGAGTTGCCCAAACTGAACGAACTATCCTGAAGGCAGTCCGCAGAGACCCTTGAGTGAGATGTTACGGGTTTGTAGCTCGCAGCATCAGTATAGGAAGCATACCATCTGTGCGACCGGTACTCACGGGCGCCAGATGTGAGGCTCTATTGAGCCGAAACTTCCACTGTGGAGGGTTGTGATGTGACCTTCGTGTTGGTACACTGCGGAAAGTACCCATAATATCCAACTGAGACGATAGGAGTCAATATTTTCGAAGGAGTATTAACAAATTCAGTGTTTGTTCAGAAGCCTGCCTGCTGCTCTTACGGGCAGGCGAGTAGTATCCAGCCCGACTTAAAATAATTGATCGTCTGCAAAAAGTCCCAATATTAAGGAAGGTAGAAGCTAAGAAATATTGGTGAACAGATTGAAGGTGCGTAGAGGTGACATTCTGGTCCTTGTGATCCCGTGGGTCTCGCGCTGTCGATGGCTACCGGCTGTACTGGAAGCTGAGATGCGCCTTGGCGTACCCTCCACCGCAGCTGCAAAACATCTATGGATAAACCTCAGAAAATTTGCGCATTCAACGCACTGAATGAACGAAAGAGGGGCAACATTGCAAGGTCTATAGGATAGGAATTTGGCAACAGCTCCACTGGCTTGCTGGTAAACCCTGTGCATGGCTTTCATTTCCACTCAGAAACGGCGGCACAAAGGCTTAATATATTTCACTAACAATGAAGGATATTTGAATTTATTCTATTACTGCACGCCGTTCTGAGCCCAAAAAACAATGCTTGAAGCAAATTTCGTCTAATAACCACCCAAGGCTGGCACTGACCGAAGGCCCCAAGCCGACTTCAAGGTAAGATCCGACTCGGCTAGTACCTTAAATTTTCAACTCTGCGGTTCCTGTGTATCCGTACAAATACCGGACTTTGCAAGACTTTAGGACGTAATGCAGGGAGGAAAAGAGAGATTCATGGAGCCCTGTACAAGGTGCTTTGGTAGGAAACTGTTGAGGCGCCGGAATAAGGACTTCAGGCGCTTTGTTTCTAGTAAGCGCACCGGGGAGAAATGGTCTCTCAGGGTTATTTTCTAGCTAGTATATGGGCCACAAGGTTTTTATGAAGAAGTTTAGCTGCCAAAAGCCGGGCACTCTAACTTGAATTTGCCCAAGAAACACTACAGCCAAAAATGAAAAGCCTGAAAATGTATGGGAACTGTACAGTAGCCTCTAGAGAGTAAAATATCTGAGAAGGACCCGCCACGAAACAGGGGGGAATCAAGGGTCAGAGGCAATCACAATTTTGTAGGTACAAGGAACAGTATGCAAACGAGAAATTAGTGGTAGGGCGATGCCTCTTGAGAGCAACAGATGCTAGCACAGACAGTTGGTAAGCGGCATCACACTAGTGCAAACATCATTGGCATGACCGGCTACCGTGGGCTGGCGAGCGCTGCCCAGCAGCTACTAATTATGTATATGTTATGCATAAGCACAGCTTTTCAGATGTTTTTGCGAAAGGATTCTCCTTTGAAGAGCTGATTAGCCACAACATAATGATAACGTTAAGGGAGAAGCACAGCAGAAGTGGCATCTACCGACTAGGCAAAAAATTATAGTAGCACAGAGAAGGGTATTGAAGCCTTAAAGCAAGCATTACACAGGCCCTGGTGAAGTATGGGTGGTGCAATTTGCCTAAGGATCTGCGGAATCACACGCAGTGGTGCAGCTTTTTATAAATGCTGCTGCAGGTTAATTATGGTTCATGCCTTCACTGGCATGGTGAGGCCAGATGATGAAGAAGGGCGTTCAATTCACCAGGTCTAGACTAGAAAGCATATACGCCAGTTAAGCCGATTGCTTGTAAATACGAAGACATCTTGTGTAGAGCAGGGTAGCAGATGGTTGTAGCTTATCGTTTGCAGTAAAGGCGTATATGCATATCATTCATTGATGCCCTACAGATTTGTCCATCCTCTCGACAAAAAGATATTTGAAGAGGGATCCGACGTGCTCTGCCATAGAGGAGCAGCTAGTGGCGCCAAAATACGCAAAGCCGTTGAAGTTTTAACAGAAGCCGACAAGTCAAGCCCGTCGAAGCTTTGTATTGGCGGCAGTTTGTGGAGCCGTGGATGCAGTCCAGGTTGTGTGGGAGCATTTTGCTGCGCATCTAGGGGCTGTGGAAAGTGGCTACAACTAAAAATAGATGTGCAGGCCGCATGCTGTCTAACAGACACAAAATCATTAACTCGGAGGCTGAGGCCATAGGCAAGATATAAGATGCACTGATCACTTATCTTCTGTCCTGAGATGCGGAGCTACGTCAAAACATTCGAGGAACCACATTCCGCATATAGAACAAAATTTACGTTGTACTTGCAAGACTTCTACACTGTATGCAAAAATATCATTTCGCACAAGGGTGGTCCAACAACATGACGTCCCTATTTCGTGTCGAACTTTCTCGTTTCTAAGGACCGTCGAGCCTGTTGCTCATTTGTAGCTCAGTCCTGAACGACAAAGCTGCTTCAGTAGCAGTGGCGCGTGCTCCCTGGCTTGAAGGCCATGAAACCATTTGGGGGAGAGGCTTCTGCTGCGGTAGCGGCAAGGAAGCGGTAGAAAGACCATTGACAGCTTCGGGGATGAATGCAAGAATCCAGTAGCAACAAAGAAAGTTCATCCGTGCAGAGTCGTCTGCTTCTTTCTAATGATAAATTGCTCCGAAATAACATGATCAAGTACGCAAACGCTGGTCCAGACTGCACACAAACACGCGTCCAAGTTGTCGAAGCGTCTTGTCATTGACTATCGTTTGGCTCATCCAGGCATGGAGAGGCTGCCACGGACATGTGGAACATTGTTCGGTACTAAATCCAGATCCCCGCCGTCAGCACCTTAGCTTCACGGCAAAAGATTCTTCAAGATGTATTGAAGCCACTGACACTTGATTAAGCAGCTTCCGCATAAATGATTGGCCCTTCTTACGGAAAAAGCCTGTCTACAGGAGTGCTCAGGTATTCCGATACATACAAAACAGCTTGACACGATGATACTGCATAAAGGTGAAAGTTTGTAATGACAGACAGTGTACGACGACAGAAAGGTCCTTACGAGAAGTGTTGTGCGACTTCGTTGGCTCATCGTAATTCTTAGGGAGGAATTTGTCCAAGAGGCGCTTTCCCCGAGAAATAACACAACACCTTTCTCTTACTTACCTTCCAGAATTGTTGTTGAATAAATACAGTACCCACCTTTTGCTGCAATTCTCGGCGACAAGATTAACCACAAGGCTTCGGGCTCTGGCGCGAGATTCTGCTTAATGGTCTCCGAAATTTGAGTCAGCCATGTACTTAGAGCGAACACATTGATATTTCATGTATTGTACACTCCCGCATAGGTGGTACAGCACACACGAAATAGTAAACATGGAGGCCAATGGTTTCTTGTATGCGGGGCATCGGGAGGTCAGTCACCTTGATAAGCTTTGTGGGTATAACTCTCTGGGGGGATTAAATAAGTTGAAATTCAATCAAGCCTTGACCGATCTCAAAAAAAGCTCAGGATTGCGTATATACGCTCTAAATATAGAAAAAAGAACCTGGTCACGTGAGATGAGCTTATGCATGCGAGTGACGTTGCTACGCAGATCTGAGTAGAAAGAAAGATGCAGGGATTCCATGACCTCCAAATGGTAACTGGGCAAAACCTGCATTAGTGCTTTGAAACGAGCGCCTCTAGAGACGGAAAATCGATTGCGAGATTACCTGTGTAAGCGTCTGCGTTTTAAATGCGTCTAAGTCTCTGTCAACGTATTTGGTAGGCCGCCTGGGGGTCTACCATCGATAGTAGAACTGCCTCAAAATCTTACGCATCTCTAAACGCTTGCCCGCATACATATGCAAGCTGACAGGAGGCACAAGGGTGGGAGCAGGAAACGCCTAACCTAGCGATACACGGCAGTTACTGGATTACAAAAAAAAGTGGCATTTCCCTCAACAGATCCTCGGGAACAATTATCGTCTTCTTATTTCGTTTTCAGGAACACACTAAGCGGTTGCTGGAAGCTGTGTCGTTGCACCGAGAAGGCTTGAGGTTTTGAGCAACCCAACGAGCAGTGGCCTGCAAACATTTGCTCATACTGCGATTTACCCGTTTCTCAGCAGCTTGCGCATAAATTGTAGATAGAAAGGCTTTTCGAAGCCATGGTCCAAGATAGGTCTGCTGAGCATGTGGCATTGAATCCCATTAGCGAGTGATCTTCTGAATGTAGAAGCTCACTTTGTCGAGGGCAAGCCTCAGAAAGGATGACAGAAGCCTTCTGGTCTTTGCTGACAAAGCCAAATAAGCGGCTGGCACTGTGCTTGGATTTTGCTTCTGGATGCATTGAAGTAAAGGCAGCTGCTCATCTCCTCCAGAAGCAAAAAGGCCAGCAAAGATGGGGAACGTTAGCCTGCACGTAATATTTCTTGTCGAGCGTACAACTGCATTGACAAGATGCTTACCTAAGTGTAATTCATCGCCTATGAAAACTGCAGAAACAGGTAGGGTGGCTTCAGCTTACCCGCTAGGGTGAGGAGGACAATAGTACCAAATAAAGCACTGGGCTTCTTGTGAGGAGCAACGGATACCCAACCGGCTAAGGCCGTCCTGAACACCGCGCGCCTCCGACACGCCAACCCCTTCTGGGTCGAAAACTCTCCAAATGTCTACTAGCGAGAAGTCTGGTCTGAATGTACAAAATCACCACAAG